AAAAAAAAAAAAAAAAAAAAAACTCAGAGCCGTTCTATGAGCCGCTGTGCCGCGGCTAAAAAACTTGTATATTTGTTGCATTGTTTTACCACTCATAGATTTTTTTGGCAGCGCCATCTTTTGAGGAAACATCTTTAATTGTCATATTTAATATGTGTGAGAGTGTTTTCTTATTCGTGTCCACAGGTGAATCTTACTGATGAATGGTTATATATATATATAGTTTTTTAAATGTAATAGGAGAATAATGGATTAAACATCACATTTTGTACTACTATGGGTTGGCTCAATGGTTCATGAACTTCAATGATTCGTTCCTTTTTGTCTTTTTTCCGACCTCACGGATATATTACTTAAAGTATAGGATAGATTGTTTGTTCGTTTTTGAATTTCGCGCAAAGCTACACGAGGGCTATCTGCGCTAGCCGTCCCTAATTTAGCAGTGTAAGCCTAGAGGGAAGGCAGCTAGTCATCACCACCCACCGCCAACTCTTGGGCTACTCTTTTACTAACGAATAGTGGGATTGACCGTCACATTATAACGCCCCCACGGCTGAAAGGGCGAGCATGTTTGGTGTGACAGGGATTCGAACCCGCGACCCTCAGATTGCGAGTCGGGTGCCTTAACCACCTGGCCATGCCGGGCCCCATAGGATAGAGGCGGACGTATATCGCGTTGACCACATAAGACTATCTGATGTCTTAGTAATCAGAAATAGCAGCTGTGACACATTGTACACAAAATAGATAACACCGGGTTGAGGGCCTCCACTGATAATTCACAGAAATATATCGTTATAAATCTGTTCCTCTATCAAACTTACATTTTATATAATATTATGACAAATATTAATTTTTAATTTTATGTATTACTCTTCTGCACTAAACTCTAGCAATTAGCAACTAGCAGTTCCCTTGTCGGGTTTTAGGTCTTAAAGACCTGGGAGGGTCAGGTGCGTTCCATCTTTTCCCGCCTCTTCCTCCAAAGCAATTAGCTTTACACAACGAATTGGAATTTAAATTTTCAACCTGAGCGACACTGAGCTACGTGGCCAGGCTAGAGACCCTTATGATTCAGGTATAGTTATCCCTAATTTCAAAATACTTACCAGAGGAAAGGCAGCCAACAAACAACACCCGCCGCCACAAGGTTTTTTCTGGCTATTTGAACCGAATAACAGTATTGACGCCTCTTCCTCCAAAGCAATTAGCTTTACACAACGAATTGGAATTTAAGTTTTCGACTTGACCGACACTGAGCAACGCGGCTAGGCTAGAGACCCTTATGATTCAGGTATAGTTATCCCTAATTTCAAACTACTTACCAGAGGAAAGGCAGCCAACAAACAATACCCGCCGCCACAAGGGCTTTTTCTGGCTCTTTGAACCAAATAACAGCATTGACTGTCATTTTCATAATGCTCCACAGCTGAAAGTGCGGATCATGACAAGCTTTTTTGCGTCAACTCCGGACATTACTTGACCACGCACAGCCCAGGTTACAGTAACATAATGTATCATATTTTAGAATATTTCAGTTTTACGAACATCTTTATGACACTTGTGTCCAAACTTCAACAATTCATATGTTTCCGCATTTATGTACGTAGCGATAAAACAGACTTTCTATTTTATGTTTACTATTTGTCCCCCGCTAGGACAGTGGTAAGTCTACGGACTTACAACCCTAAAAATCAGGGGTTCGATTCTCCTCAGCGGACACAGCAGACAGCCCAATGTGGCTTTGCAATAAAACAGACACACACACACACTTTACTCTTACACTTAATGCAGCGACAGAATTAATGAAATGCGTTACATAATGTTATCAGTGTTGTTGATAAAACATCAAGAAAGTAATATTACTGCTTCTGTAAGCTTACATCTCGTTGTGCTAGACCAGTGGTTCTTAAACATTTTCGTCCCACTTTGGAGGGACAAAAGACCTCCGAACCACCTACTTGTCCTACTCCACCCACTTTCACCACCACAAAGAAAAAATCACCAGAATTAATGTTAAGGATGGCGCTGCTTTTTACAAGACATCAATGAGGTGATATCTGGTTCCAAATTCTTCAGTTCTGGCCTGTTTTCTCGTATGGCCTCGGCCGTGGCGTTACGCGTCAGTGACTTGCATTTTGGACCAGCCCGTGGACAACCTGGAGGACGCTTTGAGAAACACTTTGCTAGACAATATAATTCTGGTAGGTTTAGTTCTTTGCGTCCACATACTACATGTGACGGTCAAGACCAGTACTCTCTGGTAAAGAGTAGCCCAAGAGTTGGCGGTGAGTGGTGTTGACTAGTTGTCTTCTGTCTACTTTATCACTTCAAAAATAGCGACGGCTAGCACGGATAGGTTTGAGTAACTTTGCTCATAATTCAACAACAAACAAACAAACATTTTACATGAATTCGCCATCGCTCTATCCGAATTTTGAAAATATTGAAATATATAAATAACTTGCATTACGCTTTAACTGCTTCAAACGACATTTTTTTTCCATATCGATTAAATCTATTGTTCAAACTATCCAATGACAGATAGCTTTTGTTAATATTCCTCTAATGAATATATAATACAAGAAAAGTGAGGTAATTTTAACAGTTTAGAAAATTGTAATGTGAATTTTTCCCCTCCTCTTTTAGACAAAGAAAATTTTCCGGAACCTCAGGTAAATGGAAGATGGAACTCACGACGTAGTCTCAAGTTAGAGCCTCGCTGGGAACCGTTCTATTGTGTGCTGCTTCAAGATGTCTGTACCTTCACTCACTATCCTACAGAAGAAATGAGTGTAAGTACGTGGATATTTATAAATCAACAGTAAACGTACAGAGAAATTGGTTTTAGATTATTTTAAAACTTTATTTACAACGCTTAATCGTTTAGCAGACTGGCCACATTGTACTTAGTTCTACAACTGGACTTTGTCCAGTGGTAACTGGTCGAACAAATATCAAATGAGTTACGAAGACCATCAACTTCGGGCTTAACGTATTCTATTCCCTGACTAACTTAGTTATGTAAACATAATTTAATTTAATTCTTTCTCGTAGACGAAACTGCCTTGTGGATAACTTTCAGTTTGTGGACAAATTTTCTGAAATTCTGTTGCACTCAATAAAATTGGAATTTTCACTACGGATTGAGTACCGTTGTAAACTGTGTTTTTAATATGTAAGTTAGATGTGGATTAAGTACCGTTGTTAACTGGGTTTTTAATATTCAATTTAAGATGTGGATTAAGTACCGTTGTAAACTGGGTTTTTAATATTTAATTTAGATGTGGATTAAGTACTGTTGTAAGCTGTGTTTTAATATTTAATTTAGATGTGGATTAAGTACCGTTGTAAACTGGATTTTTAATATTCAATTTAGATGTGGATTAAGTACCGTTGTAAACTATGTTTTTAATATTTAATTTAGATGTTTGCTTGAAGAACATCGTCATTTCGATGAGATAAAGAATCTAGTAATCTGTGTGTATGTATATATATATATTTAGTATTAGATTACTTGTAGTAACAGTATATTGGACTTATTTGATGATTCTGACATCAGTTTAACAGTCCCAAACATTTTCACAATGTTTCATTTCTAGAAGAAAGATAGAGAAAAATATTACTGTTGACTGGGATGGGGGGGGGGTTAAAATATGACAATTTAAAGGTTGTCGAGGCTATTACTTGAAATGGGATTGGGGGGGGGGGGAGTAATGCAGTCTTAAAATCTGGTATAGTATTTACGCCTTTTTGACTTAAAAAAATCCAAAATAGGTTCTGGATCTCACATCCGGAGAGATCAGGTGGAAACTAAACACTGTATTTCCTCACTCTAAACGTAAAAGCTCTGTAAAGACAGCAAAATATTTCCAGATTGAGAATGATTTTCGATTGGAAATGGATGGAAAAGTAAGTGTCTCTGAACAGAGCCTGTTCCGCTGTCATAAGTGGTACATTTTATACAAGATAATTTAATAATAATAAGTAACCAACTTTGAGTAACACAAAATGTATTGAACACGAACATTGTATGGTGTAGGGCAACATTTTTACATTGTATGGTGTAGGGCAACATTTTTCGTATAATCATGTAGGCTTACTGCTTACTCGGTAAACTTTATATGTAAATGAACAGAATCGAATGTTTTACAGCTATCTTAAATTTCTGATATATTAAATAAAGACAATTTGCATAGTTTACTCCACTGGTAAAGTAAGAAGTGGTAATCCTGTATTATCTATTTCGTCATACTAATCATAATGCGGGTTGAGTAAATTAAAAGTGTGAGAAATATATATATATATATATAAATTAAAAACTACACATGAGAAAATATATAAATAAAAAAAACATTTTTTTATTTGTAGTTATAATTAAACACAAACAGTAGGTAGTGCTATCTGGTGTCAGTTTTAACTTTTAAAATATTATTTGTTACGTCTAATGACGTCATTTTAATAAATATTACCCTTTTTTATAATTGTAGAAATATCTGCAAATAGGTGACGATACTAGTGACATCCATAAATGGAACTTAGAATATTGTAATCAATTTCTATGCATATAAGCCTTTTTTTTTCCACAAATGTTAAACTGTTGCTACTTCTTTTTCAAAAATTGTAATCATTTATTAATTGTTAATTTATTTGATGCTGTATTTAAATAATTGTAACCGAAATCGTGAACCAGTTAAATAAATATTATATAAACGTATTTTTTCTAAATACTAACTCTAAAAGCACATAATGAAATGAGTTTTTAAAGTTGTTCTCCAGGACTTCTGAAACCATTTTATGAAATCTTAGGGTACATTTAAGCATTGAGTGATTTTACTTTCCAGAAAACTTCGAAAAGTTAGTTGGAACCTTAAATATTACTTTTCAACTTCGAAAATTGATTTTGGTTGTTTGAATATCAAGTGACGTTATAAAGGAATGTATCTTTTTCATATCACGTGATATTTTACTGAATATTAAGGAATCAGAAGTCATACTCAACCATACAATAGAAACAAAACAACATTAAGTTAAACCGTTGACAAAATTACTTACTCCAATCTAATATCTGTGAACATTGGATGACAATAAAAACAACAACACTTATTTTGACATATTTTATTATTTTAACAAAAGAAAACTAACATTGTTTTTAACGCAAGAACTCCTTGAACTTTTATGTAGTTAAGAAATTTTTAGGCCAAAAGAAGTAATTTTTTAGCCGCGGCATAGTGGCTCATAGAACGGCTCTGAGTTTTTTTTTCTTCAAGTACAAAATTTTAGGTTATAGCCCCGTCATCTATTGACCAATTTGAGATCTAATTACAGATGTATTTGTCCACGCCTAAGGTTTCATAGATTAATTTACTCTAATCCTGCCTTAAAGAATTTCAAGTGCCACGGCTATTGAGGATTCCCTCATATTCTTCAACATTCTTATCAAAAGGTTGAATTTGTGAAAGACAGTACTGCGTATAAAATATTCAAATAATTATTCACTTGTGCGTGCGTGCTTACACACTGGCCTTTTTTTTTTTTACAACTATAAGAATTAGTGTGAAATTAGGCTTACTGATGTAATTTGTACAAATTCACACATTAGTGTCAAACTAGGCATAACAATTTTTAGCAAGAAAAATGCTTGTTTATATTGAAAATATTTTGGATATTATGAAAGTTATTCCGGCAAACTTCTTTTCTGACATTAAATATTCTAAAAACTTTTAATGCCTCGGGCAACAAAAAACTAAAAGAATTAACAAAAGTTATTGTACCTTAACTTGATGTGTCCAAAGATAAACAAACAACCACATCTGCCACCCAAAGAGAAACAAGAAAAGTATCGAGTAAGTTTACAGTTAGGTTTAGTTTTAACCCTAGCCGAGTTTGATGTAAAGATAGTGACTGTAATCGGTTAAAATCATTACTTGTACATAAATGTACAGTTAGGTTTAGTTTTAACCGTAGCTGAGTTTTATGTAAAGATAGTGACTGTAATCGGTTATAATCACTACTTGTACATAAATGTACAGTTAGGTTTAGTTTTAACCCTAGCCGAGTTTGATGTAAAGATAGTGACTGTAATCGGTTAAAATCATTCCTTGTACATAAATGTACAGTTAGGTTTAGTTTTAACCCTAGCCGAGTTTGATGTAAAGATAGTGACTGCAATCGGTTAAAATCATTACTTGTACATAAATGTACAGTTAGGTTTAGTTTTAACCGTAGCTGAGTTTTATGTAAAGATAGTGACTGTAATCGGTTATAATCACTACTTGTACATAAATGTACAGTTAGGTTTAGTTTTAACCCTAGCCGAGTTTGATGTAAAGTTAGTGACTGTACTCGGTTAAAAATCACTAATTGTACATAAATGTACAGTGCCGAACCCTGAACTTGTTATTGCTCGTTTGTTTTTTAAGCACAAAGCTACACAATGAGCTATCAGCATATCCACCGCAGGTAATGTAATAGAACCCAGAATTTTAGGGTTATAAGCCTTCAAGCTTAATACTGAATCACCGACGGGACTTTTTCATTGCAATCAATGGGGACAGTCACCTGTAATTGATGTTATTATGCTTTTATTTTTCCTTACAATTTAGATAGTTAATGCTCTAATCATACTTTTTTTTATTCTGTGGCAAGAGTTAACAAAATTTTTATTTACCAAAAGGAACATAGCAATCATTAACAACAAGGGGAAATGAGCATCGTCTATCGGGTTTCTTTTGTAACATTGTCAAGTTGCATGTATTGGGTTTCCTTTGTAACGTTGTCAAGTTGCATGTATTGGGTTTCCTTTATAACGTTGTCAAGTTGCATCATGTATTGGGTTTCCTTTGTAACGTTATCAAGTTGCATCATGTATTGGGTTTCCTTTGTAACGTTGTCAAGTAGCATCATGTATTGGGTTTCCTTTGTAACGTTGTCAAGTTGCATCATGTATTGGGTTTCCTTTGTAACGTTGTCAAGTAGCATCATGTATTGGGTTTCCTTTGTAACGTTGTCAAGTTGCATCATGTATTGGGTTTCCTTTGTAACGTTATCAAGTTGCATCATGTATTGGGTTTCCTTTGTAACGTTGTCAAGTTGCTAGATGTCACTGTCTCAAGGTGTTCACAGCAATAAGCGCATTTTTTTCGACTATTATCTTAATGAGGTTTTACATCATAATAACATATATTGTATCTTCCCATCTGTTATTGTTTCATTTTGAACGAATCTTTGGTATTTTCGGTAGTGGGGAATCGTTTATCTATACTGTTTATTATTATCTTTCACATTTTATCTGAATATTGACAAATATTTTATTTTCTCTTGTTTGTTTTTTATACATTTTCTTATAGCTTCGAAGTAGGTCGTGTTGCTACATATAAAAAAAATAATAAAAAAATTAAATTTGTAAAAAAAATGTTACCCACGTGCATGGGGGATTATGTAACAAAATGAGAAACAGAAGTCAGAAGTCGTTGTTATCTTTCCCTTACGAATCTAAGCCTGTGTACAGGTTCATTCTGAAGCCTTGTACAACTGTTAGAAGGTCCTCTTTTTGGCAGAAGAAGATTAATTGTTCTTCTAGTTGCAAACCTGCAATCTGATGGGTGGAAACTAGTTCGTTGGCAGATCGATTGGCTCATCGTGACGAGTGAGAGGAAGTCAAGGTCGGTTACTTCCTGTTTAAGGTCGGTTACTTCCTGTTTTATCAAGTTCACATAAATACCTGAATATATTATTCAACCCTACCCCCCCCCCACAAAATGGGCGAAATACGTACATTTAACATTTTAAAAAA